AGTGCCATCTTTGTCTCAGAAATCTGTCTCTCTGTATGGGATCTCTTTCAGGTTTAATCAAGTGGTGTCTCAGAGCCCATTACACTGTAGTCTAAGCTGGATCTAGATGTGTTGTCCCAAGAGCCTGCACTCTACTGGCTCAGACTCCCCATCTGTATTTCCATCTCTTTTTTCGGTTCTCTTCACCTCCCCCCCTCCTAAACTCATTGTCACGGTCTCTCTCTGAGGCCCCTGTGTGTTGGGATCAGACAATCCTCCCTCAATTTTGTATTCCTACAAAGGATCTACGCTCCTCTTCCACATCTGCCCTCTGATCACCCTACATAACTGTCACTGCCTCCATCACCTCCCTCTCCGCCTGTACCCATCCTGTCATCTGCTCTGTGCCTATACCATGTACAGCAGGTGGCAGCAGAGTCCACACAGATCACATTACCAGCCGAGCAGCACGCGTCATTACCCAGAACATCCACTTCTGATATTACACGGCTCAGCCCACAAAAACCATACTGTATATAGGGAGACCAAAGGGCTCATTCACTAAAACTGGAGAGCACAACATCTGCTGCATCTCCACACAGAAACCAATCAGCTTCCAGGTTTTTGTCAATGCTTAATTGAACAAGCTAAAGTTAGAAGCTCATTGGCTGCCATACAAAACTGTACCAGATTCTGCCCTCTCCAGGTTTAGTAAATCAACCCCAAAGTATTTGAGTATACAGTAAAAATGATTCCACCGCACCGTATAATGACACCGAGTATATATACACCGATAATGATCACACCGATCCGTATAATGACACCGAGTGTATATATACACCGATAATGATCACACCGCGCCGTATAATGACACCGAGTATATATACACCGATAATGATCACACCGCTCCGTATAATGACACCGAGTATATATACACCGATAATGATCACACCGCTCCGTATAATGACACCGAGTATATATACACCGATAATGATCACACCGCACCGTATAATGACACCGAGTATATATACACCGATAATGATCACACCGCACCGTATAATGACACCGAGTATATATACACCGATAATGATCACACCGCGCCGTATAATGACACCGAGTATATATACACCGATAATGATCACACCGTATAATGACACCGAGTATATATACACCGATAATGATCACACCGCGCCGTATAATGACACCGAGTATATATACACCGATAATGATCACACCGCGCCGTATAATGACACCGAGTATATATACACCGATAATGATCACACCGCGCCGTATAATGACACCGAGTATATATACACCGATAATGATCACACCGCACCGTATAATGACACCGAGTATATATACACCGATAATGATCACACCGCGCCGCATAATGACACCGAGTATATATACACCGATAATGATCACATCGCGCCGTATAATGACACCGAGTATATATACACCGATAATGATCACACCGCGCCGTATAATGACACCGAGTATACATACACCGATAATGATCACACCGCGCCGTATAATGACACCGAGTATATATACACCGATAATGATCACACCGCGCCGTATAATGACACCGAGTATATATACACCGATAATGATCACATCGCGCCGTATAATGACACCGAGTATATATACACCGATAATGATCACACCGCGCCGTATAATGATAGAGTATATATACACCGATAATGATCACACCGCACCGTATAATGACACCGAGTATATATACACCGATAATGATCACACTGCACCGTATAATGACACCGAGTATATATACACCGATAATGATCACACCGCACCGTATAATGACACCGAGTATATATACACCGATAATGATCACACCGCGCCGCATAATGACACCGAGTATATATACACCGATAATGATCACATCGCGCCGTATAATGACACCGAGTATATATACACCGATAATGATCACACCGCGCCGTATAATGACACCGAGTATACATACACCGATAATGATCACACCGCGCCGTATAATGACACCGAGTATATATACACCGATAATGATCACACCGCGCCGTATAATGACACCGAGTATATATACACCGATAATGATCACATCGCGCCGTATAATGACACCGAGTATATATACACCGATAATGATCACACCGCGCCGTATAATGATAGAGTATATATACACCGATAATGATCACACCGCACCGTATAATGACACCGAGTATATATACACCGATAATGATCACACTGCACCGTATAATGACACCGAGTATATATACACCGATAATGATCACACCGCGCCATATAATGACACCGGAGTATATATATATATATATATATATATATATATATATATATATATATATATATATATATATATATATATATATATATATATATATATATATATATATATATATACACACCGATAATGATCACACCGCTCCGTATAATGACACCGAGTATACATACACCGATAATGATCACACCGCACCGTATAATGACACCAAGTATATATACACCAATAATGATCACACCGCACCGTATAATGACACCGAGTATATATACACCAATAATGATCACACCGCACCGTATAATGACACCGAGTATATATACACTGATAATGATCACACCGTATAATGACACCGAGTATATATACACCGATAATGATCACACCGCGCCGTATAATGACACCGAGTATACATACACCGATAATGATCACACCGCACCGTATAATGACACCAAGTATATATACACCAATAATGATCACACCGCACCGTATAATGACACCGAGTATATATACACCAATAATGATCACACCGCACCGTATAATGACACCGAGTATATATACACTGATAATGATCACACCGTATAATGACACCGAGTATATATACACCGATAATGATCACACCGCGCCGTATAATGACACCGAGTATATATACACCGATAATGATCACACCGCGCCGTATAATGACACCGAGTATACATACACCGATAATGATCACACCGCACCGTATAATGACACCGAGTATATATACACCGACAATGATCACACCGCACCGTATAATGACACCGAGTATATATACACCGATAATGATCACACCGCACCGTATAATGACACCGAATATATATACACCGATAATGATCACACCGCTCCGTATAATGACACCGAGTATATATACACCGATAATGATCACACCGCTCCGTATAATGACACCGAGTATATACACCCCGATAATGATCACACCACACCGTATAATGACACGAGTATATATACACCGATAATGATCACACCGCTCCATATAATGACACCGAGTATATATACACCGATAATGATCACACCGCGCCGTATAATGACACCGAGTATATATACACCGATAATGATCACACCGTATAATGACACCGAGTATATATACACCGATAATGATCACACCGCTCCGTATAATGACACCGAGTATATATACACCGATAATGATCACACCGCACCGTATAATGACACCGAGTATATATACACCGATAATGATCACACCGCACCGTATAATGACACCGAGTACATATACACCGATAATGATCACACCGCTCCGTATAATGACACCGAGTATATATACACCGATAATGATCACACCGCTCCGTATAATGACACCGAGTATATATACACCGATAATGATCACACCGCTCCGTATAATGACACCAAGTATATATACACCGATAATGATCACACCGCTCCGTATAATGACACCGAGTATATATACACCGATAATGATCACACCGCACCGTATAATGACACCGAGTATATATACACCGATAATGATCACACCGCGCCGTATAATGACACCGAGTATATATACACCGATAATGATCACACCACTCCGTATAATGACACCGAGTATATATACACCGATAATGATCACACCGCACCGTATAATGACACCAAGTATATATACACCGATAATGATCACACCGCTCCGTATAATGACACCGAGTATATATACACCGATAATGATCACACCGCACCGTATAATGACACCGAGTATATATACACCGATAATGATCACACCGCTCCGTATAATGACACCGAGTATATATACACCGATAATGATCACACCGCTCCGTATAATGACACCGAGTATATATACACCGATAATGATCACACCGCTCCGTATAATGACACCGAGTATATATACACCGATAATGATCACACCGTATAATGACACCGAGTATATATACACCGATAATGTTCACACCGCACCGTATAATTTTTAAATCATAATGATAACAGAAATCACCCAAATGGCCATGATTAAAAGTTTCCCTCCCCTGGAATGTTTGGCCTTGGTACAGACACACAAGGTGACACACACGGGTTAAAATGCCAATTAGAGGTTGATGTCCCACATCTGTGGCTTTTTAAATTGCAATTAATGTCAGTGTATAAATAGTCAATGAGTTTGTTAGCTCTCATGTGGATTCACTGAGCAGGCTAGATTCTGAGCCATGGGGAGCAGAAAAGAACTGCCAAAAGACCTGCGTAACAAGGTAATTGAACTTTTCAATCGCTTAAGAGGAAAATTCGGGGATCTCTTGATAACAAGCCAGGGTCAGGTAGATGAAAAAAGGTTGCAGCCACAACTGCCAGAAGAATTGTTCAGGATACAAAGAAAAACCCTCAGGCAACCTGAGAAATACAGGCTGCTCTGGAAAAGATGTTGTGGTTGTTTCAAAGAGCACAATATGACAATAATTGAACAAAAATTAGCTGCATGGTCGAGTTGCCAGAAATAAAACTTTTACTACGCATATGCCACAAAAAAGCCCGGTTACAATATGGCCGACAACACCTTGACACACCTCACAGCTTTTGACCTACTGTAATCCAGAGTGATAAGACCAAAACCCAGCTTCATGATAACAGCTAGGGTTGCATTGATATCAATTGATACTGCAAAGGTATCGGTATTGGCGAGTACTTGAGCACAAGAATCGGTACTCGCTGATACTGATTACTGACACCAGGGGCAGACTGACAACTCATGGGGCCCCCGAGCAATAGGGGATCATGGGGCCCGTGTCCTTGCCCAAACTCAAAAAAGCCTATGAAAAAGGTACCAGGGGCATCTCATGGGGCCCCCTACTGACCCCGGGCCCTCAGGCAGTGCCCGAGTTTCCAAATGGTCAGTCTGCCCCTGACTGACACCTTTGCAGTGCTATTTGAGCCCATACAAAATGAATGGCACAAATCAAACTGCAGATTCGAACAGGAATCACACACCACATTTCTGTTCAAATAACGTGATTCTTTGCAGTGCAATCTGAGCCCATTCATTTTGTATGGGCACAAATCGCACTGGCAAAGGTATCAGTTTCAGGTATTGGACTTACAAGAACTCGTGCAAATGCTTAGTATCAGCTTCCATTCCGGTATCAGTGCAACCCTATTCGCAATCATAAGTGCTATGTTTAGAGAGGGGTCAACAATGCCTATAGTGACAAGAATACCATCACTACTGTGAAGCATGGTGGTGGCTCACTGATGTTTTTGGGGGTGTCACTCTAAAGGCACGGGGAATCATGGGAAAATTGGTGGCGAGATGAATGCAGCATGTTATCAGAAAGTACTGGAAGAAAATTTGCATTCTTCTGCACAAAAGCTGCTCAAGGGACGCTCTTGGACTTTCCAGCACGACAATGACCCTACACACAAGGCCAAGTTGACCCTTCAATGATTACAACAGAAAAAGGTGAAGGTTCTGGAGTGGCCATCACATTCTCCTGACCTTAATATCATCGAGCCACTTAGGGGAGATTTCAAACATGCATTTCATGCAAGATGACCAAATACTTTGCATGACCTGGAGGCATTTTGCCAAGACGAATGGGCAGATATACCACCTGCAAGAATTGGGGGCCTCATACACAACTATTACAACAGACTGCATGCTGTCATTGATACTAAAGGGGGCAATACACAGCATTAAGAGTATGCAAACTTTTGAATTTCATTTGTTTACTTGTTGCCATGTTTTGTTTTATGATTGTTCCATTCTGTTATGGCCTACAGACCTCCCATATGAAATAAAAGAAATGTGCTTTGCCTGATCACTCATGTTTTTGGCAAAAATGGTACATACAATTATCAATCCTCCAAGGGTGTGCAAACTTTTGAGCAACTGTATATACACCAACAATGATCACACTGAATTGTAGAATGATACCGAGTATATATACACACCGACAACGGTCACACGCAGGGGCAGACTGACCATTTGGAGCCTCGGGCACTGCCCGAGGGCCCGGGTCAGTAGGGGGCCCCATGAGATGCCCCTGGTACCTTTTTCAAAGGATTGTTTGAGTTTGGGCAAGGACACGGGCCCCATGTTCCTCTATTGCCCGGGGGCCCCATGAGTTGTCAGTCCACCCCTGGTCACACGGCAATATGTATATAAATGCTAATGGTCATACTTAATAATACTGAGTAGCTATACAATGTGCAGTCTTTAGGTTCGGGCACCAAATACACCAACTATAATTTGGATTAAGAGTGACATTTGGGCACACAGAACAGTAGGAAACTGACATTTGTAGAAAAGAATGCAAGACACCCCTGATCAAACCAAATTTTGGTGTCCTATTTCCTACAGAACTAAGTACTCCTTGGACCTTGAAGAAGGGACATTCCCCGAAAGCTTGTCCTCAAAATTGTATGTTAGTGCAAATAAAAAAAGTATCACGGACAGTACTTAATTGTTTTCTACAGAACTAAAAAATCTTGACTACTGAATGGCATACAGAAATATATATATATATATATATATATATATATATATATATATATATATATATATATATATATATATATACACACACACACACACACACAAAGTGTATGTATTTATACTTTGAAACCAATGAGTGTAGCTCTGTTTACAGCGGTGGGAAACTGTGCTGGCCACCAGGTCCCCAAGTACCATCAGTTGCATTAGTTGACCATTTTGCTTGGCCTATACAGAAGGGGCTGGGCAGGCTGGGGAGACAATACAAACATCTCCCATGACTTATCCAGTAGAAAACAATAGCGAACAGGCAGGGTGTCCTGACCTCTTCAAGAACTATTCATCCAGAGAAGCCTGGGTTTGAGGAGCCTGTGGGTGCCTCATAGACATCATGACATAAATGCCATGTAATAGGACATCAGGAAATGCATAAAGTTTGGAGATTAAATGTTACTCTTTTTTGGCTTTTCAATAAAAATGACCCTCAGACAGTGTTAAAGGCTGAAAAAAGTCACCTTCAATCTGGAGCTATCCCAGCTGTAACTATTCTTCACCAGAGGATGTCCTCTGACTACGTTGAATGACAGTGCAACACATTGTGGTTGGACTTATCTCCTTCTTCAGCTATTGCATTCTGATAGCTGGCCTCCTCAGCTGTCCAATTACCTAAACAGTGGGTGTATCTTATTGGCCAACAATTTTCTACCTGGCCCTTTTGATTTTTCAACAGGGAACATCAGATGAGAGATAGCCAGCAGGGCTACCCACTGAGCAAATTTTGGTCAATTCAGCAGGAACTGCCCAAAATTCACTCTGTGTATGGCCAGTTTAAGAGTACAGGATGTCATGGGCCCACCCCCGAGGGGGCATCACCATAGAGCCCTGCATTCAGAGTTTACTGATGCAGAGAACAGTGTTAAAATCATCACAACAGTGCTGCCGCCTCAAGGACCAGGGTCATGTGACCAGCCAAAACTCATCTGAAAAAGGTATTAAAAACAGAAGAAGATACACAAAAATACACATGGGGTCCACTAGGAGTGTTCAATCTGGGGTGCTGGCACTTACATTTTTTTTCTTACTGTCCCTGCCAAGTCCCACAAATACCCGTTGATCCTGTCTGGTAAGTCCACCTAATTCATCCTGTAATGGTACGACAACAATGCTGCACTGCTCCTGAATTTAGAGCAGAGTTGTCATGTTTATGTAGGCTGTGCCTGCTTACAGTGGGCTGAGAAGATGTTGCAGGGTACATGGCTATCACTATTGTCACTGATGGCTCAAAAGTCTGTAGCCTGTCATCTGGCCACACCTAGTCCTGCTCACTGTTTTCTGGATTGACAACACTGCCTCTGTTGCGATTACCCTCCCACTAGGAGCTGCAGTGTCTGGGAGGGGAAGCATGTGAGACACAACAACAGAGGATTTATCTCAGCCACCTCACTTTAAGAGGCTTGTGCCTCACACAGTAACTGGATTGGGTTTGATACTTGTTTAGACTGTTATACAGGAACTGTTAGTTGTACTTTAAAGCTAGATTTGCTTCCTTCTATCCAGCACTCAGTTTATCAAGCAAACTCAATTTGCCTTGCCTTGCCTAGAAAGGGTTCCTGCATGGTCCCAAAACATTCTGAGGGAATTAAAAGAATTAAACCATTCTTGCATTTGTCCCTGGTCACACCGGTGTAAATTTTCATGTGATTTTGTAGTTTCAAATCGCATGATAAGTCACACCCCATTGTCCACAATGGAAGCAATCATATTGGTGTGATTCCGACTCCATCTGAGTCACACTGATTTTCAAAAAGTTCTTCACGCACTACTTTTTGCAAGTTCAGGTGCAACTTGCATAGACATCTGTGTATGAAGTCCCAAAGATGTCTTCCAAGTCGCACCTGAAGTCGGACTGACATCCGACTTTGAAATTGTGCGAATTCAAGTGATGTCACATGATTTCAATGTCAGTTTCAGTGTGACCTAAGACTTAAAGCATATTTAAACCCAAAAAGAAATATGTATATCACAGTTTACGGTTTTTAGATGTGGTGGCTACATTATTTTTAAAGTTTTTTCCCCATATTTGCACCTGGTCAATTGTTGTCCTACAGTGAAAGCTCTGATGACCAACAGCAGATAAGGCCTTGTATAGCTGCTCCAGAAACTCATGATGAGCATTTCGGACTATGAGAAAACCAGATCCCATAGTGAGATGTTCCAGCCGGTTGGTCATCATAGTGCACTTGCAGCAACACAGTGTAAAATGTACACAATACTTCCCTTCTGTGCACAGTATCTTATCAAACTTCTAGCATCTTTGGAAAATGCAAAGACAAACACAGATTTTTCTTATGCCTAGTACACACGATGAGAATATCGGACGAATGAACGTTCATTTTTTTTTTTGCATACTAGTCTCCATGTCAAAAATTAAGAGGTTACTCAACTTACGAACATTCTCGTACGACTGAAGAGAATTTAGAAAGTGATGTCATGTATTTTTGTATTGGTATTTTCGGATGACTACTGCACTGATTAAACAAAAATTGTACGATCTGGTATCGTATGGGAAAGCATCTGTCCCTTCCGATATTGTCGCATGAATTGTCGTGATTGGCTCTCGAAAGCTGTGTACTAACGATACGATTATCGGACGATTGGTCCTTGTACGATAATGTTCGCACTATTTTCTTATCATGTGTACGGGCCTTTAGGATTTCCTAATCCTTTGCTTATCAGCATTGCTTGGACTTGGATAAAGAGGACAGACCTGCCTTTCTCAACCTTTTAAAAAAACAGAGGAACCCTTAATAAACTTTTAGAGATCCACTGTAATTTATTATTATACTGTATCTAGAGCTCATGGGGCATTAATGTGACCTGTAACTTGTGAATATAGGATTATATAAAATAATAAGAAATGTGATTTACTTAGAGAAGCGTTCCATCGGATCTGAAGGTTCCTTTAGAGGTTTTTAGGGGTTCCTTGAACAATGAGCTATTTCTGGAGGGGGATTCTTCCCACAGACCTCACAAGTAAGGAGCATTCTTCCCAGTGATCATCACACTTAATGTACCTTGAGCTGTAGATATAGTATTTATTAGTAGGGGGTTCCTTGAGTCCAAAAAGTTATTTCAAGGGTTCCTACATGTTAAAAAGGTTGAGAAAAGCTGTCTCTGAATAACAAAACAAATGGAAAATGGTCATCTTAGATTGGTGGTCATTACAGAAAGCCCCCAGAGGTTGGTGGTCATCACAGAAAGTCCCCAGAGGTCATTGGGAAGAATGCCTCCTTTTTAGGTTGTTAATTGGAAATGAGAATACCCCCCCTTACAGATAGTTGAAAAGAAGAAAAGATGATTGGTGTCAATGATTACTTATCTGAGAGGCAGAAAGTTGCTTATGGCTCAAGCAACCCCTAACAACCTCTATAGCAGTGTTTCTCAACTCCAGTCCTCATGGACCCCCAACAGGTCATGTTTTCAGGATTTCCCTCAGATGAAACAGCTGTGGTAATTACTAAGGCAGTGAAACTGATCAAATCACCTGTGCAAAATAATGGAAATCCTGAAAACATGACCTGTTGGGGGTCCATGAGGACTGGAGTTGAGAAACACTGCTCTATAGGAACTTTAGGACTCTACATGAAAATAAAGGAAAAAAGCAAAAGAAGTCACTACATCCAAGGATTGGTATACTGCAATATATTACATTTTGGTTTTTCAGTTTAATATAGCTTTAGATTTTCCATAGAGCTGTCAGTAAAAATAAAAATAATAATTAGGGTTGACAGCCTGAAAGAGTTGTGGGTGGAATTAGGTCATCTGTAGATGCTCAAATTTAACAATGAGGATACAGAGGAAAAAAAAAGGTAGACTTTCACCAAAAGCAGACCAATCAAATGCTAGGTACTACATTGCTGGAATTCTACTAGTTACAAGGGGTAAGACTTAATGCATATGTCAAGGCAAAATAAAAAGATGTACATCTCTGATACACATCCACATTTCCTCATGTTTTTTCACTTTAAAACATGCTGCGAGTATAGAAAAATAATTGTTGATGTGTGCTCCTTCCTTCCCTTGCATTTTTGACTTTGAATTCCAAGGCATGTGTTGTCAAGTCCTGCCTACTTAATTTATGATGGATTACAAAGAACATGAACCTCTCATCAAATGTTCCCCCATCTTCATAACCCCACTTAGTCTCCCTAACCTCTCCGTGTCTCCTCCCCCTCTTTCTCCCCCTTCCTCATCCTAATAACCTCTCCCCATCTCCATAACCCCTCCTTGCCCCCCCCCCTCATTACCAATAACTCCTACTTATCCCCATAACCCCTCCTGGTCTCCTTCCCCTCCTCATCCCCATAACACCTGCTCGTCCCCATAACCCCTTGTAGTCTCCATCTCCCTAATTCTTCATCTCCATAACCCCTCACTGTCTCCCTCCCCCCTCATTACCAATAACCCCTCCTTATCTCCATAACCCCTCCTGGTCTCCTTCCCCACCTCATCTCCATAACCCCTCCTCCACTCTTCCTCCTCATCCGCATAACCCTTCGTTGTCTCCATAATCCCTCATTATCTTCTCCTCATCCCCCTAACCTCCATAAACCCTCTTCATCCCCCCCATTCCTCATCCCCTAACCCCTCCTCGTCTCCATAACCTCTCATCTCCATAACCCCTGCTAATCACCTCCCCTTAACCCCTCTTCGTCTCCATATCCCCTTCTTATCTTTTCCTCATCCCCTAACCCCTTGTAGTCTCCATAAGCCCTCTTATCATTTCCATAACCCCTACTCAGCACCTCCCCTTAACACCTCCTAGTCTCCATAACCCTTCCTCATCTCCTCCCCCTCCTGATCCCTCTAACCTTCCTCGTCTCCATAACCCCTCCTTATCTCCTCCCCTTTTCTTGTTTCCATAACCCCTCCTTGTCTCCATGACCCCTCATCTCCTCCTCCTCATCCCCCTAACCCCTCCTCATCTCTATAACCCCTCCATGTACACAGGCAGACCGCACAGGAAGTTGTTAAAGATTTCTAGCAAACTCAACAGGTATTTTTTGCACTTTTTGAACAGATATTTTAAATAGGGAATCAAATAAGAGGTAATTGTTTGGCATTACATGCACTTTCATTTTTTATGATTTTTTTTTCCCCTCCCTGTGGTGGTTCTATCTGCAGCTTGAACTAGTCCAGCATCAGAGCTTATATTTTCTCCAAATGCCAATCCAGTCATTCATTATATTGGTATGCTGTCAGAGTCAGTGGCAGAATAAAAACAGGTTAGCGTGTCAGAATGAGTCACGTATCGATCCACCTGCACAGCTGCCGGATGTCAAGAAAACACTTCGGAGCTACAAGCAGACTGGAGCAATGAGCGGCAAAGCACACAGACCAAGCAACTCTTCAAGCCATTCCCTTCAGCAAATATCACAAGTTCAAAAGCTTTTGGTGTTAGCAATGTGGTCAGCACTGGTGGGAGTTTGGATGAGCATTTTCTCCAGCAAAGTTAAATATGTTGTTCCTCTTTTTATATGGTTTCAATTCCTTATAAGCAACTGCTCCCAAGACTTACTATAGCTTCATGTTCAAGCCCAATTCCAGCTTTAGGCTGCCTTTAAACAAATACTGCCCAGGCCTTTAGAAGAAATTAGTTTTTGGTGCAATACTCATCCTACCTGCAATGATACCCCCAAGAGTGACTGCCCTGAGTTCCAACACCGGCATTCCATGTTGATACCAGCGTCACTGAACTAACTTTGTGGGGAGCCTGGTGCACCAAGGATCCATGCCCTGGCGCTGTGTCATCAAGCCACTATGAGTTCACAGGAGAATGAGGCAGAGAATGGCACCAGGTTATTATGTCAGCCAAAAACCTCCTGTGGCCTACAACTGTCTGGCTCTTCTGCAGTGCTCTTCACTGAGCCGGTATACTGAACATGCACCTCTATGCACATACTGTAAATGGCTTCTCCATTATAAGCTATATACCACAACTCACAGGTTCATTGAAGAGGACTACAGCAAGGCCAGAGTAATTGTAGATCATGGTGGGTGGAAAAAGTTTGCCAACTGATCTAAGGCTTGAACTTAGGGGAATGTATAGGGCAGGGGTGTCCAAATTTTCTAAACAAAAAGGGCCAGCTTACTGTACTTCAGACTTTAAGGGGTCTGGAATTTGTCCATCAGGAGTAGAAATTGTCCTGGCATTAGTGGGAATAAGCCATGCATACTTGGTAACAGGGAGAGGAATAGTTCCCCATCGCTAGTTCCAGTGGGAGAAATAGTGCCCCACCGTTGGGAGGAATAGTGCCCCATTGTTGGTGTCAGTAGAAGGAATAGTTCCCCAAGGGCCAGATAAAAGCAAGAAAAGGGCTACATCCAGTCCCTGGGCTGCAGTTTGGAGACCACTGGTATAGAGTGTAGAAGGTCCAGGAGACAAGTTGGCCCAAACTTGATGAAAAGCTTTGTTATCCTGCAAACTAACTTTGATTCCAAAATCAGGTCAGGTCAAGGCCCCCCAAAACACAGCATTAAGGATTACTTACAACATATTGTGAGCCTTACTGAAAGCAATGTTTTATGTCCTAAATTACACAGAAAATGGCGCAGCCTATCCCTTTTCACCACAAAGCAGCTAGCACAAATATGTGTTTTATTCACATACACAATAGAAAATTAAAACAAAAATGTGCATAGCTAACTATGTGCAATAATTATTCAACAATTATAGCGTGTCTCTTGTGCAACAACAAATATCTCCAATGTAAACTGTCCTTCATCCACACTTATTTGATCCAATATATATCAGTGATATATCTAGTCTCCTAAGTACAGCATGAGACATCACATTTCTTCCAAAAATCCAAAAAGGTCCAATGAATATGTATATAGCAACCTCTTCTCCAAGCCATAGCAGGGGTAATCAATACCAGGAATGTTTCCCTCGAGTGCAGGTGAGACAA